AATTATATTTTTTTTTTCATTTTCAATACAATTAAATCAAATTTAAGATGTAACCATTTGATTTTACTTTACAATTTTACGTACAATATTATGAAAATCGGAATTACTATATCCTATAAGCTCCCATAGAAACGATAGAGAAATTAATAAAAATAAAAATTATAGCTTTTTCAGTTTTAACAGAATTAATCAAATTTAAGATATAGCCATTTCATATTACTCTTCAATTAATACAATAAAGAATTATAACTTTTTCAGTTTTCCACAGACTTGGATCAAATTTGAAGATATAGCCATTTTATATTACTCTTCAATTTGTGTACTATATTAGGAAAATCGGACTAATATATCCTATAGCTCACATAGGAACAATCGAGAAATTAATACAATTAAAATTTGAACCTTTTCAGTTTTCAACAAATTTTAATCAAATGTGAGATATAGCCATTTTTTATTACTTTACAATTTTTTGTAATATTTATGAAATCTGACTGTATATCCTAAAGCTCCCATAGGAACGATCGAGAAATTAATAAATTAAAATTATAACCTTTTCAGTTTCAACAGAATTGATCAAATTTGAGATATAGCCATTTTACATTACTTTACAATTTTGTGTAAAATTTATGAAAATTGGAATACTATTTCTTATAGCTCCCACAGGAACGATCGAGAAATTTATACAATTAAAAGTAGATCCTTTCAGTTTCAGCAGAATTTGATCAAATTCGAGCTATAGCCATTTCATATCATTCTACAATTTTGTGTAAAAGTTTATAAAAATCTGACTACTATATCATATAGGTCCCACAGGAACGATCGTTAGATTTAGAGGAATAATGCAAATCTGTGAATGTCAACTATGAATAAATATGGATAGGTGAATAAAATGAAAGCAGGTATTACTACATTGTTTTTAACATAAATATATATAATTTATACTGTATTAATTCCTCGTTATCGAAGTTCTTTGAAGTTTGCGGATGTTTGCTTCTTTCTTTTCTTAAAAATTAATTTACTGTCGTAATAGACTATATGTACTAAGTGTTTCACCTTTTGAATCAACGAGAAATTGAGGGAAGATTCTATCTAACAAACAATGTATTGTTTAATTTCTCATTGTATAACAAGGACCCACCTTTGGGGTCATTAGACCAAGTCGAAGTCCGGTCATTAAGTGCGCCACGTGCTGTTTGCGGTTTTCCGGATCCCGATCAATCCACTTGACACACAATTTCCATACGTAGTCTCTTCGCGTGTGTTGAGCTCATCGTCACTAATATACTGTAGAAGTCTTTACATTCATATCCATTATGTCCGTATTACGAGCGGCCACCTCCGTGAAGTACCGTAGGGGTAGTTGCGTGCCTTTTGGTACAAATCCTCTAGAAACCGGAACCTGCCGTGATGCCAATTAAAATCGGATTTTTATGCGCCCAATCGCCACTCACCGTGCGAATCCCATAATGCTGACACAGTTCTCTGGTGTAAGGGTATGGCTGAGATAATCCTTGCACTGTTTAACCAAACCCACCATGCCCACATAATCCGCACAGATTAGCAATCGTGCACATTTCGTCGTTGATATTCGTCTGCCGTAGGTAGGCATACTGATGGACACCATTCATTATGTTGGCGCTTATTCCTGGAATGTGGATGACGCGGTTCTCCTCCATCCCTGTTCCTCCAGTCCGCATGCGCCACTAATGGCATTGAATCCCGTAAACTGTGCGCTAGCGAGAGATGTGAAAGAGAATGCCCTGCAGTGGCAAACTTTTAGTTTGATTAGTGCTCACCGAAGTAAGAGCTGCAGGAACACATGATAGCACGGTGCACATTGAAGGCCTGCTCTCCCACAGAAATCTGCGCGTCGCAGAGTAGATTTGCCTCGCGAAGCTCGTTTAGTGTGTTTAGAGCGTGGTCGCTAACGGTGGGTGCAAGTGATTTTGGTGACACCTGAGATTGGAGTGGAGACCGACGCCAAGCAGCTCGTCGACCGGACATTTCCGTCTACATCCCGCTCCAATTGGCAATCGAAAGCTGTGGAACTAGGGTAAGCGGAAGCGAAACCCTTCGTTTACGCCGTGCAAATGGTTTCCATTTTGATGGTGATTCATAGCGGGAATGCGCCAACAGTGTCCTGAGTACTTGACCTTGCATAGAAAGGAAATGTGCTGATATTAAAGATGATACCACAAGTGCAGAGGCAATGTAAAAAAAATTACCCAGAAAACGGGTTTGTTGATTAAGTCTATTATATGGAGGAGAAAGATCTCCGTATTCAACTGTAGAATTAGAAATTATATTCAATAATTAATCAACAACAACGAGACAGTTTATGTAACGAATGAAACAAACCTTAAATTCTGAACTAAAATTCATACGCTCACTTAGTGCCACCACACTCGTGCCGTCTGAAAAACAAGTAAGGAACTACCATCACATTAATCAATGTGGTCCTAAGTAGTGTGCTTTGCATCACTGAGTCCCCAATGATAAAAGAAAAAATTATGGTAAATGAGTCTGTAAAATAAGTTTGTGCTAATTTGCTTGATGATTGAATCGTTGATCAGTTCGAAGTGCCGCTTAACATTTACATCACAACAACTTGTATATTTATTAAATATAATTAAATGTAGCGCTTGCTCGGTATAAGATACTTTTTATTAGCGCCATCTGTTGGTCGATCATATGTCGAAAGGCGGCTTTGCCAGTGTAGCAAGCGTAGGTCGGCTAGGGCACGAAGATCGGGTGAGAGAGTAACAGAGGCATTTGTCAACGGTCTCCCCGTTTCCCCCACTTTCACATTGGGTTACCGCCACTTTTCCGGCGTCATCTTCCAGCATTCCATTTTGGCTGCTGAAGTGTAGTGACTCCTATATTGGAGACTGGCGACAAAATTTCGAAAAAGTAATCGCGAGTGTTCAAAGTGCTGAGAATACAATTTTGCTTATTGGCCACTGAGCCACGAATAGAAAGGTGAGCGTACAGATAGGGAAAAGCATAGGCTAGCTTGAACTTATTATGAATTTTAAAGGCTGCAGTTTGTACCGCTCGAAGGCCCGAGGAGAGGCGAGGGGCAGGCAACGAAACGACGCCGGCGCAGCTTCTTGGATTCTTTAAACGCCTGGATCTGAATTCTAGGAGGAGGACTTCCCCGTCGCCCCGCTCACCAGAGCTGGGGAAAATATTACTTTTTATATAATTTTATGGGGTTGAAGCATAATTAATCACCGAATGCGGTAGAACGACCTTTGTCCCCTTGGCGAACAGCTCTAGAGAGCACAACTAAGCAGAGAATTCGGTAGCAGTCGTATGAGCTTTTATGCCAGAGACGGTGTAGGCGTTGGCTTCGGCAAAGCATTGCGATTAGTTTAATGTAATTCTTTCAGGCGTTTGAACTCGCCGCCGCAATGCGATCCCGGCCAACGTACATTTAATTCGAGCCCCATGCCTCATCGCGACGAACTATTGTAAAGAAAAAGGGAATTTTCGACCCCCATTTTGTTCCAGTGTCAGTGAAGATAATATGGAAAATTAGTTAAAGAAAAAAAAGAAATTTTAAGTTAGGTTAATTGTGGAAAAATTGCAAGGAAAAAAAAGAATGATGTGAAATGAACTTAGGCATATGTAAAGAGCAATGTGCGGCAAGAGAAATGTTAATTCGTTGCATTCCGGTGAAAATTAATGAGAAAATCGATTTAAATAGAGCGGGCCGTATGCGTCTTTTTTTATGATAGTTTCCCTCCCATCTTCGTAATCTCTTTTAGGGATGTGAATTTCTTTTTTTGCATGTATCATTTTCATCCCAATTTTCAGCTAGCCTCCGAGGAAAGCGCTTCATCGGTGGAGTTAAGAAAATGGTGAGTGTCGAAGTAATAATTTAAACAATTTCAAGTACAAAAAAAAAAAAGAAATTAATTGGAAAGAAAGAAAATGTCCCAAATCTTGAGCCGTTAACGTAAAAGAAAGATCGAAAAGTTAACCGAACCAACGGCAGAAAACGAAGAGGGAAAGGAAAAAAAGGAGGAACGCTGATACATAAGGCTATTTAAGCTGAGGGCTTTTATGCTTCTCCAATTCGAATTATTATTTTTGTTGTTGCAACATTTGGATTGAATCTCAGTCAGCGTAATAACAATTTCCTCCAACTTGCCCAAAATTGTTTTGCCATTATTTTTATTTTTGCCCGAAATCGAGTTGAAAGACGTATATTTATTTATCATTGGTACTCTAAGTTTTAATGTTTAATTGTCTATATACGTTTCTTATTTTAAGAATTGAATTTATATCTTTCTAGTTTTAAATAAAATTATTATAATGTTTTAAAATGTCGAGTATTGGCCGCAGCTGGCATGCGTTGTGATGTAGGGTAGCACTTGTCGAAGGGGTCGCTCAAGCTATATAGCTTTGAGGATGGAAGCGACCATAGGAAGGGTGGGCAAACTAGAGCCTTCAGAACACCAGGAGTGCTAAAAAGGGGAGTAAGCCGAAGAGAGTTAAATTTTCCTCGACTTTTATTTATGTGTTGTCTGTTTCTCTGTCCCGGTTTAAGCTTGTTGTAGCACGCAGTTATTTCTGTTTAAAATTATGCAAAGGCAACCCGAGATCTGAGCAAGACCATCACTCCCGTAGCCGACGAGCCGAAGCCGGAAAATATCTTGCGTGCGCTCCGATCTCGAGCTAACAACTTGCCTGTGACATTTGTTTTGAGTGTAGCGATTCGTTACATAAATTACAATTACTTAAATAAAATACCTTTAAAATTTATAATAAAATAAAAAGTGTTAATTTCTTCTGCAAAATTATAAAATCAAAAAGGAAAATAAACTAGTATGTACCTATCTTAACTTTGTTCCTCTGAAAGAACAAAATTAATTAATTCATTGCTTACCGAATTTATTATGCATGTATTTCTGCATTCTCTTCATGAGCAGAGAATTAATTTCATTGCTTCCATTTTCCTGCGCAGACGTGAGGATGCTGTGTTATTATAAAACATGGGTAGGTTATGGCATAGCTCAACAGTTATAAAGATGAGGTCAGTCGAGATATTTCTCCTTCTCAGCTGCTGCTGCTCGTGGTTCTTTTTCGGCGTAAACAGTTCAATAGATAAAGATGCCTGGTTACGTCCTGGCTGCCATAAAGTGGGGAATACGCGAAAGATATCCATTCCCGATTGCGTGGAGTTTACCATCACGACGAATGCGTGCCGTGGATTCTGCGAATCATACTCCGTGCCCTCTGTCCCTGGGCGGGAGCCACGCTTACAGGTCTATTTAAACAACCTAAGCCAGTGGTTAGTGTTGGGCAATGTTGCAACATTATGAAGTCAGAAGAGGTAAGTCAAACTTAATGTTTTATGTTACTTCTATCAACTTTTTCGTTATAGATACAACGTCGAGTTTTGTGCATAGATGGCATTCGCACCGTTACATTCAAAAGCGCTGTATCATGCAGCTGCTATCACTGCAAAAAAGACTAGATAAGAGAGAAAGGCAAACAATTAACTTAAATACCTGAGCCATTTCTAATTTAATATTTCATTAAAATATATTCATATATATCACACGTATTATTACAGTCGGCATTTTCATTTAATGAAAGAATCCTGACCACAAAATTCAAATAGAACAAGAAAGGAAGCTAACTTTGGCACCCCGAAGTTTATATAGCCTTGCAGATAGCACTTCGATCACTATGAATTAATACAATATAAATAATAGATATTAAAAGCAATAAAGTAATCACTGCCTCTATTTTATTCACCTACACAGAAAAAATTCCTGCAGTAAATCCAATCAATTCTGCAGTTAAATGTCATCAACCCAAAATCTTGGGTTGGATTTACTGTGAGGTCCAGTAAAACGACGTAACGCATTACGTTGTGTTACTGCTTTACAGTGAATCCAACCTCTATTCTGAAGTAGAAATTCTTTAACCAACGAAATTAGTAAATTACAGTATTTAACAGGTTAACTGTACATAACCGCAGAATACTATTAAATACCATATTTACAGTAAAATTTCCACCCACATTAAAAACAGATAACTTTTAAAATAAACATCATTTTTTGTTATTTGTTAAAAATTAAAATACTTTTTTTTAAATAGCCTAATTCTCAAATAATTGGTTCAGGTCCTTAATGTTCCGAAGACTTGGTATATCCATTTATATTACTTAACAGTTTAATGTAAAATTTTATGAAAATATGATTACTATATCATATAGCCCCCATAGGAACGATCGAGAAATAAATTCAATTAAAAATTATAACATATTCAGTTTCAACAGAATTTGATCAAATTTGAGATTTAGCCATTTTATATTACTTTACTATATTACTTAATAGAAACTATTACAGCCGCAGCGACTACGGCAGAAGCGAAAACAGCGGCGACGCCTCAAGCGGAACCAAAACACTTTAGCTGAGCATTTTACCAATACTTTTTAAAATATTAAAACAAGAAAGAAAGCGTTGGTTGTTGCATTGCTGCCACATTGTTGGGAGGTAGTCGAACTACACATTCCGCAATGAGGCTGCCTTTCAATCGGTGCACAATAACCAAAAAATCGAAGACAGCTAAATTGATGCAAAAATGTAAAATTCTTATTTGGGATGAATGCACGTTAGCACAAAGCTCGGCCGCTCTTGCACTCCCGCATGTCGTCCCTTCACGCACTGCTCATCGAGCTAATCTACGAGCTCCCGCTCTCCTCTCTTCGGTATTGGCGATCGCCCCCTGCCGAGTTCCCGATGAATTCACCTATACATATTGTATTTACAGTTTTATATTCCCAGTTTTGCACTTTCCTCTAATCCAACGATCTTTTGTACGGCAGCTATTAATTTTTATGAAATTAAAATCGAAATTTTAGAATAATATAAAATGCCAGTACAAAAGCTAGACGCCCTATCAGGCGCTGGGGTTGAGTTCTTATAGCGGTGGACGATGTTGAATTCCTCTGTGTGAAGCTATCTATCAAAGGTAGCTCCATTTTTATTACCCGTTCCTACATACCTCCATGTTGGAACTTCCTATTTATTGGAAACACCTTTCAGCTATTCAGATGGTTTCCAGTAAACTTTTAGATGAAGACCAGTTGGTAGTCCTAGGAAATTTAATATCACTGGTGCTATTTGGTGCTCAAATAATTCCACCAATACTCTCCATACACCTACACAACAAGACTTTATCGCTGGCTTGTTCGACATTTCGCTGTCACAAGTCAACCTTGTTCGAAATTCCTTACAGCGCTTGCTCGATCTTTGCTTCGTCTCTGATCCTGCGAGAGTCAGTTTAGCAAGGGTGGCGCCTCTGACGCAGCCCGAAGATCCTTATTATTCAACTTTCGATGTGACCCTTGATATCGGGTGTGGTATCTTGTTTCGGGCCTGAGGTTTCTCCATAATATGTCCACTAATCTCTTTTCCGACAGAGGGGCTTTAAATTGTCCATCAGCAATCAAAGCTCTTCTTTTCTCGCTGTTTTCGGTCTTTAATAGCCTCCTCGATGTCGCCCTCTGACCGAGTGTCCTTAAATTGTTTCCTCAATGCTTGGCAGAGCAAGTCCCATCGAGTTCCTCGAGGCTTTGTGGAATCTCCAATAAAATTCCCTTGCCTTACCATCGAAAAGAATGCTGGAATTGGTGCACAGTATTGGAAAATTTTCCTCCAAGGTCTGCTGAGTCTTGGTTTCGACTCGGTAAATGAAGTGATCCACAGGAATACTTCCTGGGCTACCGTCGAAGCGAAACTTCCAGCCATTTATGATCTGGACAACCTTGTCTGGCCTATTCGCTAGATCCGATGTTTGGCTTCTAGGAGTTTGTCTTCCTCAGGTTGGAATTCTGGGGGTATCTGAAAATCTGAATAATATTGATCCTGCCCTAAAGACACTGGAGTAGTATTTCTCCCCAAGAATACAGATTTGAACTGCGCAGCTACATTTGACTGAATCAGTTGCGCCATATGCCCGGACAACCATGCCATCATCTCACTTTGCATGTTCTTTACAGCTTCCGTACTCATGGCTCACCGCATCGGTGGAGATAGCCGGTTGAGATGTCGTTTCGCTTCCGCTTCTCTCTCTCGAGTTTTTAGCTGCCGTTCCGGCTTAACTTCCAGGCGACTGCTTCGGACCTTGCGTTGCTGAACTCGTAATCGCTACTTCAAATCAAGCCGTATATTGTATATCTATTTATGAAAATTCCCTCAGATCCCAATTTTAGCGACCCTAATTAAAAATCCAAAATAATAATTATTAAATAAATAAATAATAAGTAAAATAAATAAAATAAATATTACGAAATTATCAAATATAATATAAGAATATTCAAATGTATGCGAGCACCAAAATGTAAACAAATAAATGTTTAAGTCGTTATCTTCCGCCTTCAAGCATGGCTTCTTCGCTAGTTCAACTCTAATCATTTGTTTACCAGACATATATGAGACAAGGGGCAAAGAAAAGAAAACAAAGAACAACAACAATGCAGCTGCTAACAAGCTCTGCAGCGCATTTGTCTAATCAAAACGCTTCTCGGTTTCTTTGGTATTCTTTCATTCTCCTCTGCACCCTCCTGGCCTATTAATTTGTCCATCACCCGTGGCCAGTCAACCCTTCTAAAAAGACTGATCTGTAAATCCAAGCGTGTAATGTCCAAAATTAATCCCTGATCTTATGGATACTGATGGACTGTCGTTGAGTCTTAATGACCGTGGCCAAGATAGCCTACTGATAGCCTAGCATCCCTGTATCTCCAAATCGATCTCCAAGTCTTAACTGCTGATCCCTCAACTGTAGGGTATTAATTCGCCCACTTCTGATTAATCCTAAGCCGTGGCCGGGTTATCGCTGCTGGCAGCTTGATCTGGAGCTGGAGCAACCGTGGCTTGCATAAGCGTATACAAACGTACTAGCTTGTAAAGCCCACTCCTAAACCTGTGCGGCACCTGAATGCAGCTCTCGCAAAACTTATTTGGCCACATACGTTAGGCGCCAGAAGCTATAAGATTCTAAATTATCAAACATATAAATAAATTATATTTGTAACGATCGTGGCAGATGTTATTGTACCTATGTCGGCGCACGCTTCTTGTCCCGGCTCGGGATCGTCGGCTAATGGGTGGTATTCTTGCCTCACTAGGTACTGCCTATTAAACAAATCTCACAGTTAACACAAATGCGTGCTACGATGACATAAAATAGAAAACCAAACAAACACATACACTAAGATGGAGTTAGAGCGGCTTTGCCCTCCCTTCCGTGGCCATCACATCCTAAATGCCTTTTGATGACCCCTTCTGAGCCCTGATCAGGGCATTCCTAAGGAAGGTTGGCTAGCTGAAGACAAATTGAAAACTGCTGTTTACCACATTATAAAAGTTTATTCCCTACGATCTAAAACTAATGAAATTCGAAACTCTACACTCCTTATTAAACATTCTCCATAAAACATATATCAAAACTTAAACAATCTAGAAATTAATCGAAAACAAGAAAGAAAGCTAACTTCGGCACGCCGAAGTTTATATACCCTTGCAGATAGAACTTCTATGAATAGGAAACCATACAATATAAATTATATATTTGTATTAAAAAACAATGAAGTAATAGCTGCTTTCATTTCATTCACCTATACATATTATATTTGCAGTTTTACATTCACAGATTTGCATTTTTCCTCTACATCAAACGATCGTTTGTATGGCACCTATAAGATATAGTCGTCCGATTTTCATAAAATTTGACACAAAATTTAAGACTAATATAAAATATCTATACCTTAAATTTGATGAAAATCAGCTGAAAACTGAAAAAGTTATAAATTTAATTGTATTAATTTCTCGATCGTTCCTATGGGAGCTATATGATATATTAATCCGATTTTCATAAAATTTACACAAAATTGAAGAGTATAGTAAAATGGCTATATCTCAAATTTGATCCAATTCTATTGAAAACTGAAACGTTAAAAATTTTTGTGTAAAAATTTTCCGATCATTCCTATGGCACCTATATGATATAGTCGTCCGATCCGGCCCGTTCCGACATATATTCGAGTGAGAGTATATAGAAGGCTAACTACAAAGTTTCATTCAGATAGCTTCAAAACTGAGAGACTAGTTTGCGTAGAAACGGACAGACGGACAGACGGACAGACGGACAGAAGGACAGACGGACAGACGGACATGGTTAGATCGACTCGGCTGTTGATCCTGATCAAGAATATATATACTTTATATAGTCGGAGGTGCCTCCTTCACTGCGTTGCAAACTTCTGACTGAAATTATAATACCCTGCAAGGGTATAATAAAAGGGGTTTTAATCGCAAGGCGATGTAAAAAATAACTTTTGCAAACATTCGTATTTATGAATTAAATCAACATTTTCTCAGTGTTTAGATCAACAGTATAGGAGACAGATCGAGGCTCGCAAAGAACCTTCAAATTAGTTTTTAGTTTTTGGCTTTTGATTATTTTTTCTTTCTTACTTTAAGCTTGCATCTTGAGTTTTTCTTTTATACGAAATTGGGACTCAAATCTTAGGTGGGCTTTATATGGCGCATTTGGGCCGTAACTGCAAGTTAATGGCGTCGTGAACCTTCAAATTAGTTTTTAGTTTTTGGCTTTTGATTATTTTTTCTTTCTTACTTTAAGCTTGCATTCTTGAGTTTTTCTTTTATACGAAATTGGGACTCAAATCTTAGGTGGGCTTTATATGGCGCATTTGGGCCGTAACTGCAAGTTAATGGCGTCGAGCCAGCACACTCACCCAGTAATTATCCCGCGAAGAAAGTGCTTCCTGCGTAGAGCTGCCGATGAGGAGAAGGCTGTAAAGCAAAATTTTACTCCTGTCCTACCGAAAATTTGGCCCTCTTCATGAATCCTAAGGTTTAGTTAGCCAATGTTAATAAAAACTCTTTGGTAGGCTGCCAATCACTGTTTCCTGACGCTTTTTGACATTGCATCTCAGAAATGAATATGATGCAAATTAAAAGGTTGAATTGAAAATTAAATGGCGATCGCGCCTGTTGCCTCTTCTTTCAGGCCAACTCGGACGGGGCTCATTTCCTTACTTTTTAACATGTATATATAATAACTCCATTATTACGGGAAACGAGACATTATTTTTGGCCGTCGATTTACATTTTGCCGGATCGCTGATTAAATTTGGTCGGAGAATTAAAAAAATGGAAAAGCTAGCAATGTTCGAAGATGGCAGAACACGGAAGCATATAAAGTGCAATAGAAATTCTAACGGTTACTCCACTGCCGGGGTGCGGTGAAGTTATCCGCTCCTCCTTCTCCTTCTCCCGCGCTTGGAATAATACCGCCTCTGCGCTTCCTTTTTTTTGGGCTTAGCTTCCTCCGCTCCCCTCTCGGCCTGAGCGTTTTTCTGCTGCCCAATTTGGCGAAGAAAACTTAAGGCTGCCAATATTCCTAAACAAGAATTTTTTTTTGGACCGTGCTTATTTCAAAGCCTCTCGCTTACCAAAAGTTTTCTTTTTCTTCTTTCCCGATCTTCCTGAGTGTCACTATTAACTTTTAGATTTTGTCTCCTGCAGCATCCAACTGCTCGGGTGCGAGGCCAGAATGGTAAGAACCAACCCGCTATGCCATCAAGCAAGAAGGAGCCGATCGACCCTCCCGAACATAGCAATTCTTCAGGTGAAAGGCGAAACCTTGGCCCTGTTAAACTCTCTTAAAGTTAAAAACGCTCCGCTACCCTCCTATGCTCCTATGATTAACAACTCCCTTACTGACTCCTAGATGACGCCACTGATATTCGTATCCAAGCGTTACAATAAAATCAAAGAATTAGTAAGTTTTAACATCAATTTACATAGGTGGTATAAGGTACAAATTTAATTAAGGCAAATCATTTTCAGACGTAAATTTAAATAGGCAATTACAAGCCATAACTTAAATGTCAAATTTATAAATAATGTATGTATAAATAATGTTTTTATTCTTTAATATTTCATATATTATATTTGTTTAACACTTGTAGGCATATCCCTAAATATATATCCAGCACTTGGGCCTAGAACAAATATATACGGTCATAGTGCTAGATGATGTAGATGATTATTTAAGGACGTGTCCAACGTCTATGTAGAGCTAACATACATGGTAGCTAACTAAGCTAGGGCTTAAGAAATTTAGAAAAATTAGTTTTGATTATTAAAACAGCAAATAAACATATATTTATATTTTGTTGTTTATAGGATTAATAAATGAAACTATTATTACGTTTGTATTCACTTACAATTTCTTGTTAGAAGGAGAGTTTTCTGTCTGGTTTTAGCCAACTCCAAGGATGCAGCCCAATCATAATTTTAAATCGGATTGTTAACGGTTCAAAGGAAACTAATTGAAGGAATATGCAAACCTATTTAATCCATCCTGTTGAACACTGCAGGGTGGCAAGAGAGAACGATGCAAGTATAGTGCAAGGCGCAGACGCAATCTACTGTCTACAAAAAGGTGTATAAATAGGCGAAACCACTTTTATGCCATCGCAGTTGAAAACAAAGACTACAAGAAGAAAGGAATACACAAAAACCCGATTTCCAACAATGATGACTGGATTTGTTGTGTGAGGCGACCTTAAATACTTCATTTGATTAGTACTGTATTCTTTAACTCCTCTTTTATTTGCAGCACATCAGCTTACCTTTTCGCTGGGCTACTAACAATGAGCGTTTCTGGCTCGAAGTTGGTCGAGCTCGAGCCAATTAACAGCGGACCAACTGTGGCTCCGTTAGGTTGCCATCGTCGCCTCTACTCGTACAAAGTGACGCAAACCGATATTCAGGGGAATGAGTGCTGGGATTATGTCAGCGTTTGGTCATGCTGGGGACGATGTGATTCTAGTGAAATTTCCGATTGGAAATTCCCATACAAGCGCTCATTTCATCCGGTCTGTGTTCATGCCAAGCGGCAGCCGGCAGTGGCTACCTTAAAAACTGTCATTCCAAAGCAGATGAGAGCATCAGTCAATACCATTACATGGAGGCGGTTAACTGCCATTGCCAGACGTGTTCAACACAGGACACTAGTTGTGAGGCACCGGCAAATACCATGATGGAAGGTGGCAGCAAAGCCATTATCTTAGGAGCGGACTCAGAGGACTTGGACTACTAGATACGTGTTCGAACTGCAGTGAACGCTGTGTAGCGCTTTGTGTTGGCGTACTCGGTTATAATATATATATTTAATTTGCTTAATAATTACAGCTTAGTGGCTTAAAAGAAGTAATGCAAATTAACGACCAATATAAGACATTAGCAACTAAATTAGTTTTCGTTTAAAATTCGCCATATTTAAGAGGTCGTACTCTGATAAAAATTTTGTTACTCAATTTTTCAAGAATTCTAAGTGATAGAAATAGTTTTCATTGGGGTCTTTGTTCGAAATTTATTTGAACCACAAAATATCCGTTAAGGTACAAGAAATGTCTGTATTCTTTTACGGGGTTATGCCCAGGATGCCATAAAAATGGCATTTAAAAAATAGTCAATATTTGTACAGTTTAGCTTAATAACCTAAACTATTACGTGTATTTTAAGACGCCCCAAAAACAATATATTGATAATTATAAAAATTAAAAAATTTAAATAATTATGAAGTCGGCACGGCAGGAGGGCACATAGAGTAGCTGCAAGTTGTCTTTTGCGTATTTCTCAAGACGATGTGAATGATACCGCAAAAACAATTAAACCGATTGACTTGAAAATTAAATACATATTCCTAAAAGAATTTGTTCGATTCAATATATAAACAATTTTTATGAAACTTTTCATACGTTTTTTGATTTTGACACCTTCTATTTGTGTAATAAAAATTTTTTGAAAAGGATGATAGATCATAACCACTATCAAGTACTGTTCTGGAAAAACCGATGATCGCCGAAGCTCATATGTATCTTCGCCATTTTAATAAAAATCACAAATATTTTTATTTGTAAAGCATATTCGATATAACAATAAAAGTGGAACATGAAAGAAAGAAACATATGCACGCCAAAGTTTATATACCCTTTCAGATGGAACTTCGATCATTAAGAATTTATACAATATATATTAAATATATAAGTATATATAATATATAGTAATATGAAGTACTACCTGCTTTCATTTCATTTACCTATATTCATAGATATAGATATAGATATAGATATAGATATGAGATATGATGATATAGATATAGATATAGATATAGATATAGATATAGATATAATATAGATATAGATATAGATATAGATATAATATAGATATAGATATAGATATAGATATAGATATAGATATATAGATATAGATATAGATATAGATATAGATATAGATAATATAGATATAGATATAGATAAATAGATATAGATATAGATATAGATATAGATTATAGATATAGATATAGATATATAGATATAGATATAGATATAGATTATAGATATAGATATAGATATAGATATAGATATAGAATAATAGATATAGATATAGATATAGATATAGATATAGATATAGATATAGATATAGATATAGATATAGATATAGATATAGATATAGATATAGATATATAGATATAGATATAGATATAGATATAGATATAGATATAAGATATAGATATAGATATAGATATAGATATTAGATATAGATATAGATATAGATAGATATAGATATAGTATAGATATAGAATATAGATATAGATATAGATTATAGATATAGATATAGATATGATATAGATATAGATATAGATATAGATGATAGATATAGATATAGATATAGATATGATATAGATATATTGATATAGATATAGATATAGATATAGATGATATAGATAGATATAGATATAGATATAATTAGATTAGATATAGTATATAGATATAGATATAATAGATATAGATATAGATATAGTATAATATAGATATAGATATTTAGATATAGATATAGAATAGATATAGATATAGATTATAGATATAGATATAGATATAGATATGATATAGATATGATATAGATAATAGATATAGATATAGATATAGAATATAGATATAGATATAGATATAGATTAGATATAGATATAGTATAGATATAGATATAGATATAGATATAGATATAGATATAGATATAGATATAGATATAGATATAGATATAGATATAGATATAGATATAGATATAGATATAGATATAGATATAGTATGATATAGATATATATAGATATGATATAGATATAGATATAGATATAGATATAGATATAGATATATAGATATAGATATATATATAGATATAGATATAGATATAGATATAGATA